GCTCAACCTTCCTTCCGAGGAGTGGCTGGTGGGTTTGAACCGCCAGCCTTCTGGTTAGCAGTCAAGTGCTTTAGCCACTATGCTACCAGAGCTCCTATAGGACAGACTAGAACTGTCCTATAGGGTTTCCTGGGCTGCAATCTCTACGGGAGCAGATCACCAGGGTCTCTTCTCCTATGGAGCCGCAGATAGGTTTGAACCACCTGTCTTCTGGATAGCAGCCAAGCATTTAACTATGGGGCCACCAAGGCTCCTTAGACTCCTGATAAAAAGATAAACTGCTATCACCATAAGGAATCTAGTAAAGCTGAGGATGCATCCCCTATGCTCCAGGAAATATATAGTTCTACTGATAAAAGTCTTTGTACCAGGAAATAGGTACAAGAAACTTCACTGCAGTCCTGTGTGCCATAGAAAAAGAACTGCAAACAATCAAAATGTCAGTCAATAGAAAGAGTGAAACAGCAGAATGAAAAGAATGAACTCCACCTACATGTGTCAACATGAATTAATCTCAAAACAAGCAAAAGAAGCAAGATATATATGGTATGGTTCTATTTACATAAAGATCAGAAATTGGCAAAATTAAACAACACGTCATGTAGAAATGCTTACATGTGTGAAAAAACTACACAGAAAAGCTTAGGAAGCTTAACACGACAGTGAAGATAGGGTTACTTTGCAATGAAGTTGATTCCAAATCATGGTGATCCTATGTGCATCAGAGTAGAAACATGTTCCACAGGGTTTTCGGTGGCTGACTTTTCAGAAGATCTCCAGGCCCTTCTTAAGTGCCCCCGGGTGGGCTCGAATCTCCAACACTTCAATCAGGAGCTAAGCTTATTAAGCCTTTGCACCACTCAAGCACTTTGGTTTGTTCTACCCAGGGATGACTCCGGCTGGTAGGAAGGAGGATTTGATTGGGAAAGTGCAAAGTATTAATTAATAAAGTTCCATTTCTTAAACTGAATGAGAAGCCCACGCGAGTTCATTTAATTTCTCTCAAATCTGTACATATTAGTTATACCTACTCTTCTCTGTGCATATAATAATTCATAATACATTTTAAGGAACTCGAAAAATATCCAAAAATCTGTTTCAAATTTTCTTCTTGTTCAACTGTTGAAATAAAAAAATGCCTTTGCTTAAAAGTAGTCTTTTAACAAAACAGTGACATTAGCATCTGATACTATAAAGGCTGCTCTTTGAGAAACTACTATTACATTAAAGACAGTCATGTGCATCACATCTTATATAGTGCACATCAACTTGTTTTCAAAGCAAAGATAAAAAGTGCAAAAGACCTTAATGCTGTCTGCAGAAATACAGACTTTGACTTGCATCAACACAACTACCAATTTTTATACACCAACTGAAATCACCCAGCATCTGTTTAATGAAATCTTTTAAACTTGTTTTGTTGTTGTTGTTGTTATGTGCCGTCAGGTCGGCCCCGACTCATAGCGACCCCTCCTTGGGTTTCCGAGGCAGTATCACTACGGAAGTAGGATTGCCCAACCTTCCCTCCGAGGAGTGGCTGGTGGGTTTGAACTGCCAGCCGTCTGGTTAGCAGGCAAGTGTCTTAGCCACTATGCTACCAGAGCTCCCAAACTTGTTTTAGTAACAGCAAAATTAAAAGATAAACATATTAAGTGCTAAGTAAGCACTGAGGAGGTTAAGTATAATTTAATTATGGTACATTAGGTTTCAATCTTAAATTGTCGCCTTAGGCCACAAGAGAAACTTGTCTGCTAACAGTAAAAACTGCAGGATAAAATTGGGAAGACTTCAGCTAGCTACCCAAATTTGAAAGATGACACACTCCAGTGGCTCTGGCAAATTCAGATTTAATATCCTCGTCCACAAATAATTCCCAATTTAAAAAAAAAAAAATTCTCTCAATTTCTGCCAGTACCATTTGCAGATATTTTTATGAGCACTCAGAATATAATATTCCTGGCAAGGCAGGTACCAATCCTGGCAGATTAAATAAGTAGCCAATGACTTTTTGCGCCACAAGGTGAGCCAACAACAGAACCAAGAATGTCACCCAAATCCTGTTGCCAATACGTTATGTTCTAGACCTACAGAACTCTCCCGAGTCCCAGGGTGTGGAAAGTCATAGGAAAAGAGTGCCCAAGTTAAGAAGAATCCGCTAACCATATGGTCAGAAGTCAGAGTCAGACGGGACCTTGAAAATAATTTTGCAGATGAGAAAGCATGCCTCAGGGAGTAAAACTCTTGTCTTTCCTCTCCTGGCCCAGTGGTCTCCACCAAAAGATGTTCTATTCGCTGCTAACATGGATGGGGTGAGACAACCAGCACCTAGGGCCTGAATGGCAAGGTTGAAACGATCATAGAGGTAATGGGATCAATCCTTCTTCCTACTAATGAGGAAAGGGAGCCTGGAAAGTGACGCAACTTGAGCGGTAAATCACCAACTCTGCCTCCGCGCACGAAGAGCGTTAAGATGTGAAGGTCGCTGGCGACCCCCGCTACCCGTTTCTAGGGGGCAATGACAAGAAGCCTCGCAATCTCCAAATTTTATTCAGTAAGAGTCCGCCACATCAGACAAGTAACCGGGAAGAGGGGAGATGGGGTAACTGGAATTGCAGGTGCACAGCACCGAGAACGCGGCGGCGGGAAACGGCGCCGAACCCCCACCTCGCTCTTTCGCATCCCTGGCTGCGGGGAGAGGGGAATGCAGGAAGCCTCCCGCAAGTAGAGGTACCTGTGGCTCCTGCCGCAGTCCCCCGCCGCACAGACACCGGAGCCCGACACCCGACTTCCGGGGTCAAGTGGAGGCGGGGAGCACAAAAATTGCGGTCGGGGAGCCTCAGACCCGCCCCGATCCAAGCTCCACCCACCACTGTCCTTTTTTACCCAGGACCAGACCAACTTCCGGGACGCCGCGCGTCACTAAGCACCCGACCTTCACTTCCGGACTCATCCCTCTCCTTACCCACCCCCGTAGGAGCCAGCACGCGTTCCATAGAGTTTTTCGCGCGTTTGATTGGCGGATCTGGAGGTCTTCGCCGATTGGTGCAGAAGAAAACTTCCCCATAGACGACCGCGGACTGTTTCTGGCGCCGCTGTTTCCCGCCGGCTATAAGATTTGCGCCGCAATCATGGTGGACGTAATGGAGTCGCCGGGGTCGCGCGTGAACACCAGCATGTTGCCGAGGTCACGCATCAATGCCAGCATGTTAGCTCAGTTCATCGAGCGGCCTGTCTGCTTCGTAGGAAAGGTTGAGAAGGTGTGCGAGGTCGCGGCCCCGGGCTCCCCGGTCTGTAGCTAGAGGGAAAGGCCCGTGCCAGTCACAATAGATAACGGAGGGTGGAAAGCCTTAGGGCATCATCGTGCTCTCTGGCTTTATTTCACATAAGAGAAGTTTTTAGCCTTTGAAACTTGGGTTTGTCGCCTCATTTATGGCGTGGAGAACAGGGTGTTTTCGAATCCGCTCCATTCCAAATTCGAGCCTTTCTACCCAGTTGTGTTTTTGTTTACATAAAAGAAAGCGTAGATATGACTCCCACATCTACTGTTCTGAGTTTTTATTTGAGATAGACTTGACTGTGACTCTAACTTGTGTAGTTACTTGCTTCGTTCTGGGATTTTCTGTCTTAAACCTTTTTCTCGTTGAAGTCGCTTCTCCAATAAGTACTCCTTGATTGTCCCTTCCAGATCCCATAGCAGCCTTGTTATCTTAGACCAGTGTACCGTGTAATCCATAAAACCCTAAAGGTTGGAAAGAGCCCAGAGGGTGCAAGCTCCCTACAGGTGAGAAAAACAGGCCCAAGCCCAGAAGTATCAGCATTGGTGACCCAGGAAAGCTGAGGGAAAGAAAAGTTTTATAAAGGCTTATTTAGCAGCTCGTTCCATCTACACATCAGCTTTGTGAACTCGATGTTATACCAACTTCACAGATAGAGAAATTGAATAGATTGGCAGTTTAACCAAATTGCTAGGGGCCACAGCAAGTGGAAAGCAACCATTCAAACCAGATCTGTCTACACTCTTCATGGCTGCGTCTGGGTGTAGAACCCAGATCTAGCAAACAGTTCTTTCTTTACTTCAACCTAATTTTTAAAACATACCCGAGTTGGAATATATATACTATCTAATTCATAGGTGTTAGCAGATCTGACTTTTGATACTACTCATTTTTTCAAATTATATTCTTGTATAATTTAATTTGTTCTCAGCATAAGGTTGACAGATTTAACAAATAAAAATACAGGAGGTTTTTTTTCCCCCTTTGTCCCCTGTGTGCTCTATATTCATGGATATATTTGCACCACATCAGACCTATAGGTATTAGTGAGTGTAGTCCCATTTGCCTTCCCATCCCTATTTAGCTTGAGTGTCTATCTAAATTATTATTATTCCAGTGCTTGCAGGACTGTGTATGTCATAGTATTCACCTTTGTAGCCTTTAACTCTTGTGCTCCTCCCTGTCTCTTCCACTGAATACAGAACATACTTAACATTAAAAAAGTATTCAGTTTTTCTGAAATTTAGATTTAACTGGGTGCCCTGTGGCCAGGTCTGGTAACAGAGTATCATTTCAAGAAATAAACTTGTTCAAAAAACAGTTATTTTGTGCAGATTAACTGAATTGGATCAATCTGCTTATCTTTCGTGAAACTTAAATTTTTATTTTAATGAAATCTTAAAAGTTTTTGTGAACTTTTTAACATTTTAAAAATTAACATTTCTTTTTTTAGATTCATCCCACTGGAAAAATGTTTATTCTTTCAGATGGAGAAGGAAAAAGTGGAACCGTTGAGTTGATGGAGCCTGTATGTTTAAGTATTAATTCTGTGTATATTATAGTTAATTTATTCATCTTGGTTTGATTTGTTGGTGAGTTACTGATTCTTGGAGAGGATGTATAAAGGAAAAGTTTGTAAAACTTCCTGGCCCTGAAATTAAGTTCTTGTCCCCTTCTTACTATGTATTTTTTGCTGATTTCCTTTTATGTTTCCATACAATGATTCTTTGATCTCTCTGATCCTTGAACATATTTCTTTAATGCTGAATAACAATTCTCATTTTTTATGAAAGACCTTAAAATCACTGGAGAAAAATCTTTTGTTTACTCACCTTTTCCTTCAAGAGCTTAAGTTTTTTATTGCCATTTTCTATTTATGCTTACATACATTTTCAGTACTTTATTTTTACATTTTATTAATATACTTAAAAACACTTCTTTGTCTTAGATCCATATACTAGCAAATGTATATATAATATACTGTGCTAATTATCCTAGATAATAGAATGGTTCTACCCAGTAGGGCCTTTTAAACAAATTACTATTTGTAGAAATGCTGGAAATTCTGTTTCTTTACCTTTGAGTGATTTTGCCTTCAAATTGAACATTTAACTTTATCTTTGAACTTGAAGCTACTGCTAAAGGTAATGAGACTTGTAACATACTGACAGCCAGTGTTGTTGTTGTTGTTGTTGTTGTTATGTGCCGTTGAGTCAGACTCAACTCATCGCGACCCCTCCTTGGGTTTCGGAGGCGGTATCTCTACGGAAGTAGATTGCTCAACCTTCCTTCCGAGGAGTGGCTGGTGGGTTTGAACCGCCAGCCTTCTGGTTAGCAGTCAGTTGCCTTAGGCAATTAACACAGGGGTTAAATGTTATTGGGCTACCAGAACTCCTTGACAGACAGTACTCAATAAATATTTTTTAATAAGTTTGTAATTCAATTTTTGCATTGGTAAATTTTTTAATTGTTTTGTGAACTGAAAAGTTAATAAATTCTTTAATAATTATCCAAGTTAAAAAGTATCATGACACATTTTTTGTTCTCTGTATTAGCTCGATGAAGAAATCTCTGGAATTGTAGAAGTAGTTGGAAGAGTAACAGCCAAGGCAACCATCATGTGCACATCATATTTCCAGTTTAAGGAAGATAACCATCCTTTTGGTAAATAAAGCATTCCTATTATTTATTGGTTTATATAATAGAAGGAAAACAATGTTCTTTTAACTAGAGAAAAATATCTAATTTTGAGTGTAGTCCTGCCACATTGTAATTTCTGTAGAATTTTCTAATCCCAATGAAAAACAAGAAGACATTTTGGCCTGCTTCTACAGGAGTGCTTGTATATGTAGGAAATTCAGTAAAGATTCATTAATAGTGGAAAGAGACATTTCAAGACATGGTAAACAAAGATAATGTTCTCTTTACTTATTTTTTTAAAATGCATAGATTGAAGGCACCAAAAAAATGCATTCACACATAAAATATTACCAGGTAGAAACTGTACCCGTATAATGGATGTCAAAATGGATGATCTGCATCTTCATTTTAGAAATTAGATCATGAAACAAAATTGATTTCTAAAAGGCAGAAAAAAAAAAAAAGGTAGTTTTTTTTAGATGATAATTGATATTACAGCTTCCCACTGTAGATTAAGTGCTTGCTAAAATGTTTCTTTCAGATCTTGGACTCTACAATGAAGCTATTAAAATTATCCAGGAGTTTCCTCAGTTTTATCCTTTGGGGGTTGTCCATTATGATTGACTTTGATGAACTTTTTATGATTGTGAATAGGATGTTGAAGGCTATTAAAGGAGACCTCTAATTTTAAAGAAGAGATTCCTGTGGTTTCTAATATTTAATTTGCTCTTTTTTTCCCCCCATTTACCTAACTTCAGATATTTCAATCTGCATTTCTTTATAGAAATGGTATGCTAGCATTTCTCTCCTAAGGAGGACTAGTCCTCATAAAAAGAATCTCTTCTCTGTTATATGATCTGATGATAGACAAGAGTAAAATAGTTGTTGTCTTGAATTTAGTTTTCTATTTTATTAATAAATACTAAAATGATACACACTGTTGGTCATGTCATTCTTTTATTCATGAATTCAAGCACAGACATGGAAATTCCTAGCTATAAGGTCAGGGCTTAGGCCTACCAATATGAAACGATGGATCAACTCTTAAAAGATTTACTGCCTATCTTACATACTGTAAGGAGCTCTGGTAGCATAATGACTAAGGCATCTGACTGCTAATCAGAAGGTTGGTGGTTCAAACCCACCAGCAACTCAGTGGAAGCAAAACTGGGCAATCTACTTCTGTAAAGATGTACCACCTTAGAAACCCAGTGGGGGTCACTGTGAGTCAGAATCAACTCGATGGCAGTGGGTTTGGTTTTTTTTTTTTGTTTTTTTTTTTTGATTACTTACTGTACCTTCTTAGTTACTTCCTTAGCAATTATAAAGAACAAACAGAACCCTACATCTTCTGTAATTAGTGAAGTATCTTTTTTCCAGGATTTTAAAACTGAAGTTTAATGCCAAACAAAGGATCCATGATAATTAAAGCATTTGGTAGAATCATTTAATTTATTTTCTTTTCTTCTCAATTGTCATTATCCTTATGGAATTCTTGTTCACCACCAAATACTCGTTGGGAGCAGACAGGGAGGAATATGACAAGTATAGGATAAAAGATGATGTAGATCAACTATATCGTCCGTTAAGTTTTATGGCTTGACCCATTCTGTTCAGTGAGGAAATACGCTAATTCCAAATTAATTTAGATGGTAAATTACTGAAAATATTACTTTAAATTGATATAATCTTAATTTTTTACTTTCATCCCTCAAATACTATGCAGCATTGCTATAGCCACTGTGTTAAAACATTTATTATAGGAAGTAAAGACAATTAAATATGTAAGTACAGGAGCAACATCAGCCAGTCTCAGTAGCACAGTGTTAACATGGGTTAAATGTTGAAGGTGCCCTACTTGAAACCTTTGAGCTACTCACATTTAGTGACTTGGAATAAATGAGTATGGTATCTTGTTTGCTGTTGAAGTGAATCTTTAATACTAATGGTTTCCTGTGCCAGTATCTAGCCCCAACCTCACTGTGCTATTCAACATCTGCTCCTACAGTGTACTTAGCTCACCTGCCATATATTCCCTGAGTTTTGTTTTTCTTTATTATAACAACTTTGTTGAGATAATTTACATACCATACAGTTTACCCATTTAAAGTGTACAGTTCAGTGCATTTTAGTATTTTCAAACAGTTGTGCAGCCATCTCCGTAATTTTAGAACATTTTCATCACCCCAGAGAGAAGCCCCCTACCCTTTAGCCGTCACTGCCCCAGTGCCCCCACACCCCTAGCCTTGTTAGTTACTATCCAGTCAATTCTGACTGCGGTGACTCCATATATTGTAGAGTAGAACTGCTCCCTAGGGTTTTCATGACAGTAGTCTTAACGGAAGCAGATTGTCGGGCCTTTTTCTTCCATGGTGACACTGGTAGGTTCGAACTGCCAACCTTTTGGTTAACAGTCAAGTGCAAACCATTTGTACCACCCTAGGTAGCATAGTGGCTAAAGCACTTGACTGCTAACCAGAAGGCTGGCGGTTCAAACCCACCAGCCACTCCTCGGAAGGAAGGTTGGGCAATCCTACTTCCGTAGTGATACTGCCTCGGAAACCCAAGGAGGGGTCGCTATGAGTCGGGGCCGACTCGACGGCACATAACAACAACAACAAGGAACCTATTATAGCTTTGACTATTCTAGACATTTTATATGAGCAGAATTACATAATATATGGTTTTCTGTGACTGGCTTTTTTACTTAGCATGTTTTAAAGTTTTGGTGTTATAACATAGATCAGTACTTTGTTCCCTTTCTGATTGAAAATTGTTCATTGTATGAGTATGTTCTTAGGTGCCCTTGGGTTGGCTCCAACTCATAGCAACCCTGTGTACAACAGAACAAAACACTGCCTGGTCCTGTGCCAGCCTCACAATCCCTGCTATACCGGAGCCCATCTGTTCTGGTTCCCTAGTGCCGCTCTGACAGGAGTATACCACAAATGGGATGCTTTAACAAACAGGAATTTATTCTCTTACAGTTTGGAGGCTTTAAGTCCAAGTTCAAAGTGCTGGGCTCTAGGGTCTGGGTGAAAGCCCCTCAACCTTGGGTTTCAACTCTGCCTTCTGCTCCCAGCCCACTGAAGCTGGAGACTTTTCACTCAACTGCTGGCTGGTGAGCCTGACAAGCCCAAGGTTGACAAGTAAAAGGGCACAGTCCTGATGTTACCAAACCACATGGCAGGCCATTAATTCAAGTCCATTAAAAGTCCCAAGGTTGGCAGAGCATGGCAGGCTGCTGAACAACAACACGGCTACATGCAGGGTTCAAGCGTGCCGTAAGCTAGAGACCATTCCCAAAGCTGCTGCTTATATACAGGAAGCAGACCATATACCCAAAGCACTCAGCTGCTCCAGTAGATTCCACCATGGAGTTAATTACCAGTCTCACCATAGGGAATAACTACATTCAGCTGCCCAACCACTCAACCAGGCCTAGCCAAGATGACACAGAAACTTAACCACCATACCATCTTTGGAGTCACTGTGTCAGTCCATCTCGTTGAGGGCCTTCTCCTTTTTCATAGACCATCCTTTACCAAGCATGATACCCTTCTCCAGGGAATGGTCCCTTCTGACAACATGACCAAAGTAGATGAGATTAGGTCTGTCCATTCTCACTTCCAAGGAACATTCCTGCTGCCCTTCTTCCAAGACAGATTTGTTTGTTGTTCTGCCAGCCCACGGTATTTTCAGTACTGTTTGCTAACACCATATTTCAAAGGCATTAACTGTTCTTTGGTCTTCCTTATTCATTGTCCAGGTTTCACATGCATATGAGGTGATTGAAAATACCACAGCTTAGGTTAGGAGCACCTTAGTCTTCAAAGTTACATCTTTGCTTCTTAACACTTGAAAGAGGTTTTACAGCATATTTGCCCAGTGCAACATGTATGAATATAGCACATTTTTATCCAGTCATGAGCTGATGGACATTTGGGTTGTTTCCACCTCTTGGCTATTATGAATAATTCTGCTATGAACATTCAGATACAATGTTTTCCATGGACATGTTTTCATTTCTCAGTTATGTACCTCAGATTGGCATTGCTGGGTCAAATGGTAGCTCTAGGTTAATTTTGGAGGAATTACCAGACTATTTTCCAAAGTAGCTGTATCATTTTACATTCCCATCAGCAGAGGATTCTAATATCTCCACATCCTTGCCAACATGTTTCCTGACTTTCTGATTGTAGCCATCCTAGTGAGTGTAAAGAGGGATCTCATTACAGTTTTGAGTTCCCCCATTTCTCACAGCTGTGCTAATCCACCCAGTTGCCTAAAAACAGTTGAATTCCTCCAATCCTTTTTACTGCCATTGTCATCTCTTACTTGATCTATGGGAGCAGCTCTAGCTATATAATACCTTCCTGTTTTCAGCCTCTTCCCATCACCCAGCCAATAGTCACATTAAACATCAACTGTGATCATCACACTGTAAAGTTTAAAATCTTCCTGTTGTTGTTATGTGCTATCGAGTTGAACCCAACTCAACCCTTCTTTGGGTTTCCGAGGCAGTATCACTATGGAAGTAGATTGCCCCATCTTCCTTCCAAGGAGTGGCTGG